CCAACAAGATGAGAACAAAACCAGATTGTGGAACAATAGCTCCCGCTTGTGCGGCAGCCCCTTTCCCTAGCCCCCTGGCTCCCCAGGGAGCAGAGGGGGAGGGGAGAACCTGGGCATGGGAGAGTCCCACAGGACTAGAGGCATTAAGGAAGGCCGAGGCAAGGGTGAGGGAGGCTTGGCCAGGGTACTGCTTCTTGCTCCCTGGGAGACCTGAGGTTCATTAAACTGCTGGGTTGGAAACATTCCCAGGTAGAAAACACTGGCTGTCAGAATAGGAAGCGTATTCGGCACTGCCCAATCCAGACTCCAAGCCCGTGGGCTCCGGATGCTCCCCCCCACCCCAGGAGTGTCTAAGACACCAGTGCACATTCAGATGGGACAGGGATGGAGGTGACCACGTTTGCCTTGTTCAGAGGCCTAATATTTACAATGGACACGGATGGCCTGAAAGGCCACCCAAAATTAGGACCTTGTCAACTATGGGACCCTCCACAACCCACCTCAAGGAGCATTAAAGAAAGCATAGCTCAGCCCCTGGCTTTACCTCCATCGTAACGGCCATCCTCATATGACTTTATTTCTGCGTAGCCCAAACTGGGTTAAAACTCATTGTGTAACCAAGGATGGCCTTAAATCCCTGGTCATTTAGGCTCAGGTGTGTGCTATCGAACTCAATTTTACCCCATTTGCTTGTTTGTGTTTTTAGACCCAGGATCCGCCCGCCTCCCTCCTCCTGTGATCCTAGCTGACCTACAACTGGCTATGCAGACGAGGCTGGCCTTGAATTTGTGGGGCTGGGATAACAGGTGTGAGTCACCATACCCAGGGACATTTAGTTACTGACTTTTCAATACCAGAATACATGTTCTGGAGATTAGAAGAGAGTAGCCTAATCTTCATGGGAGACCATGGGACAGGGGACTTATTCTAGGGACACCGCTGTCTAGCCAGTGCTCCACTGTACCCTTGTCCTCCAGGTCAAAGAGAAGATCCTATTCTCCCTGTCCAGACTGTGAGTTTGAGGCCGAGCAGGAGGCTGGACTTAGTTCTCATACCCATGTTCAGAGCTTATTCCAGATCCCACCTGTTGGCCTCCTAGATCCCACCTCCACCCTGTCCAGTTCTGTGTTAGAAAACAAAGAGGTACCCACAGTAGGTCCCTGTAGACATGAATGTGGATTCTCCATGAAAGCAGCAGAGTCTGGGGCACATGCCTGAGCTCTCTTCTTCTTCTCCTCCTTCTCCCCCTCCTCCTCTTCCTCTTCCTCCTTCTCCTCCTTCTCCTTTTGGGTTCTCTGTATTGCTTTGGAGCCTGTCCTGGAACTCGCTCTGTAGACCATGCTGACCCCAGACTCACAGAGATCTGCATCTGCCTCCCGAGTGCTGGGACTAAAGGTGTGCACCACCAACACCCAGCTTGACCCCTCTTCTTATAGTAAGGTGTGGGCAGGCTGGATAGTGTGACAGAATCCTGTCTGGGCAAGCTGCCTCTCTTATGACCAACATGGACAAAAAACTTAACCTCAAGCTGTGTCGGTGCCCTTGTTTGTAAACAGGAAAACTTTCTTTGCTGTGGCCATCTCTAAGTTTCCTCCCCCCCCCCTCTTCCCCTGTCCTCATCTCTGGCGCTCCAGAATCTATTCCCTGTGGGTTCGCTCCCTACCTCTGGTTAACCTTGACCTTTCTTTCTCCTTCAGGCCCTTCAATGCACCAAATGAAAGGACCAATATTGGGCACAACACACCAAGACCAAGTTCTCAGCACAAAGGAGATTATTTGCCCCACAGGGACAAAGGGCAGGGAATGAGAGATAAAAAGGGGAGATAGAGGATGGGGATAAGGGTAAGGGGCCAAGGGAGAGGGGAAGGGATACTTGTCTCCGAGGGACAATGGACTGCCTCTGGATAGAGAGGAGACAGATCTGGCACATAGGGAAATGGCCATTTATAAAGATAAAAGGGCAAACCCTGTGTTAGGGTGAGGTGTTTAATTTTGATTGGGCATCTTAATTAGGGCAGCCAAAAGGGGCTCTTTGATAGCTGGACTTTGGTAGCCAGCTGCAGGAGGAGGAAGTGGCTAAACAAAGGAATGGATCTTGGTTGCTAACTTTAGGAATGTAATCTAATGGTTTTTAGCAAGGCCTGCCACAGCCATGTCTGCCATATTCCAGCCAGCTAGAGTTCACCAAAGGTTCTGTGTCTCCAGCCAAATCTTTCCCCAGAGCTGCCAGCGACCTCTGACTGACTAGGTAACATCTCTCCATACTTAACTATACTTGAAGACCTAACGTGTGACTTCAAGTCAAGGTAGCTATAACTACTATTTGCAAGTTGACCTTGATGCCATTTCAATAAGCATCAACACTCACTTGAAAAGAACAAAGCTCTCTTCCAGGCAAGGAAGGGGAAACCTCCAGTTCTGGGGTTAGAGAGTCAGAGCAAGCTGGCCCTCCCAGGCACCAGTCCCTGAACTTGGTCTCCAAGTCTCCTAGTTAATTAATTAGTACACCAGCGATTACTTCTGTTGACAGCCTTGGTGATTTTTGGCAAGGTTGGGTCAACTCAAGCAAGTCCAGACTCATATGGCGAATTCCCCTGGCTTCTGGGATGTGAGACTTGATCCCTTTACTGCAGGAGCAGCACCTCGTTAGAATTAATTGGGAGGGTAAAGGAAGGAGTGAGGGACTCCCAACCAGTTGGCTGGTGGTTGCAGACAGGCCTCGAAATACTCTAATATCCAGGTTGGCCTGAACCCTGCTGGAGAAGGCACAGATGAGCAGGCAGTTCTGAAGAGCATGGTACTGCCCTCCCTTCTGAAGGACAAAGACGCCACACAATTCCTCCCAGCCTGTAAGAGGTTTGGGTTGCAGTAAGACGAATTTGCCTAGACACCCAGAAGCACTAACATCCACATCTACTTCAGCAGGCAAGAGGGTCAGGATTCTGGGCCTTGAGCAGAGCCTCTTGAAGCAGCTGACTAGACCCCATGGGGTATGGGGGTATGGCCTCCAGAGTGTTCCCTCATATCAACTCTGGCTTCTTCGACTGAGGGCTGGCCCCATTCATGGCTGTCCTTGGCCTGGTTTTCTGGCAGAGCCAGGAAGATGATACTTTCCAGCTGGGACAGCCTCTGATTTGGCCACCTGGAGATTCTCTGTTCTGGATCCTCTCCGTAGGCAGAGGTGCCTCCAGAGACCTCAGAGTAACCTCTGCCCTGTCTCCAGGGCTTATAGGTACCTACAAGCCATGGGCTCCATTGGGGGTTCCCAGGCTCAGCTTTCCTCGGGCTGGAAAAGACCTGAGGGCACACAAAACCGCAGACCAGGTTCCCAACCTTGAGTGTCCCAAACTTCAAGGCTTAGTAGGGACAGTGACTTCAGCTCCTGCACCGAGGCCCTTTGCCACTTTCCCCCCAGGAACCCTGGCTCACCCTCCATCCTCCATTTGGGTACTCCTTGAAGCAGGGCCGGTCCTAAAATCACTCCTTCAGAAGTGGCCCTCTCTAGTCACAATCTCAGCTCCAAGCGGCAGGTTGGTTCTTTGCATTCTTGGCCCTTGCTTCCGATTTGTCACCACCACCTGTATTCTCCACTTACAACCGCATCTGCCATCTGCCCACCCTCTCCACAGGCACCAGGAACACAGGGCTTGCCCCTGCCGGGGCTGGTCCCTTGGTCCACGGACTTGTCCTTTTCTCTCTTCACGGACCTTGCTTTTTCCCCCCAAGTCCTCTGTCCTCTCCTGCATGCATACAAGTTTCCCCGCTTCCATGTTCAAAAGAAGCTCTAGATGTCTGCCGCAGCTCCCTGCTACCAAGACACACTCCATCATTGGGGAATATGTTTGCTTTTATAGTGTAAGGACAAGGGCACTCTCTGACCTCAAGGAGTTTGGATGTCCCAATCTCAGTGAGCCTGGCTCAGCCCTTGCCTGGTGGCCTCCATCCTGTCCCTGTGGCCTGAGACACTGGTCCACGGGTTCCTCCCACCCACAGGTCTAACAGACTCAACTGTCTGTCCTACCTCAACACTCCCCTCTTCCCGTCTCCATCTTGTGACAACATGACTACATCTGCCTTCTGGTTTCAAAAACCAGAGAGCCAGGCACACACCCTGCAGGCTCCCTTTCCTCCCACTACATGCAACTCTTCACGAAAATCCCGAGGAAGCGGCCGCCCCACTCCCACAATGGCCCCGCTTCTCAATGCCCACTGCCAACAGCCTGGTCCAAGCCGCCATCATCTCTCACTGGACGCCCGCCACAGCTTCCTGATGGTTGCCTCTCCGGAGCTCCAACTCAGCTTCAAGAAGCAGCCATGGAGACCATCCGTTCACAATCGAGAATTCTTTGTGCAACCCTCTGGATGCCATCCCAACTCCCCCTGCTTCGGCCTTCAAGTTCCCAGCATCACACCGGGGCCGTCCAGCTTTACCTGCCTTACCCCGTCTCTCCCCTCTATTGCTCATGGGACAGACTTCATTCGGGTACCGAATGTCACGCACTGCCTTCTCTCAGGACCTTCATACCAACTGATCCCTAGCCTGTGTGTCCCCAAAGCCCCTGGTCAGTGGGCCAACTGTAACCCAGCTTCCAGGCCCCAGGGGAGTGCCACTGCCCCTCAGGATTGCTCTGCTACCTCAATCCCTCCCACCCTAACCTTCCTCAGTAGTCACCTTTGAAAGGTCTAAGCCCGGGTTAGTCTCCTTGTTTTCCTTTATTATTATTATTATTATTAAAGAAAAAATTTAACTCTGCAGCATAGGCTGGTCTCCAACTGACTCTGTAGCTCACACTGGCCTCAGACTCACAGCCTCCTTCCTCATTTCCTCCACCCGGCGCAGCAGCCATCACCTCAAATGTTGGGATTACAGACATGAGCAGTCACACCTGGCTTCCTTCACAGCCCTCACCACAGGGCCTGGCTCAATACTGGCAGTCAGTACCAGTTAAGTCTTTGTTAATAAATGACTCCTCCCTGCCCTGCCCTTTACCCCCACTGACCTCTGACATCTGCGGGAAAAGGCTGATGGCCAGTGGCAGGGCCAGGCCGAAGGCTGCCAGGCACACGAAGCTCTGCACAGGCAGGAGTAGCCGAGGGCGTGCCTGCAAGAGAGCTGTCCTGTGGAGAGAAGGAGGGCCATGTGAGGTGTACAGCCTGGGCTGGCTGACTATGAGCTGCCAAGCTAGGCCCCGTGCTACCTCGGGGCCCCGGGGAAGCAGGTCCTGCAGCCCAGTGCTTCTCTGGCTAAGCAGAAAAGTGGACACGATCTTTGGGGCTTTCAGTAGTTACCACTGATTTCCCCACACCCAGCCATGGAGGGCATGGCTGGACCCAGCAAGGAACCCTCACAAGTTCTCACAGCGGGACACCCATCTACAACTGTCTGGTCCTGTACCTGGGGCGGGGCGGGGGAGGGGGGTGAGCAGAAGAGCCTGTCAATCGTGGCTCCTAAGAGAAACACGCCAGTATGTGACATGGCCTTTAGATGTACTCAGCAGTAGGAAAACCCCAGTATGTGCCATCCACGGAGAATACACTTGGGCACAAACACACACATGCATACACACACACACACACACACACACACACACACACACACACACCATCAGGGAGAGACAGCCCTGTCCTACCCATGGGAACTGAAGACATCCCATTGGCTACCTCTTCCATTCAAGAGCCATGGGGAGGGCAGACATGGCCAAGGGTAACTCTGCAGGCAGCTGGACTCTTGTGGTAGCTATTACCCTGAGTTGCTCCTAGCTCCTAGCCTGAGAACCCTGTGAACACCCCCAAACATAATGCACTGGTCTTCCACTCCCTAGGGCAGATTTGGGGGAGGGGGGATGATGATTCCTGAACAGGAGAGAAGTGTGAAAAACCTCCCTTCAGTGTGCGAAGTTTGAGTTCTTGGGACAGAGTTGGGGCCACGCTAGCTGACGAGCACCAAACTAGTTACCACACTCAGCAGAAAACACTATTTGGCAAGATCTATGGCATTGCAATCATGGAGGCCTGGCAATTCCAGAAAAGATATTAGATGGGCACTAAACTTGACCTCAGTGGCCACAGCAGCCTCCCATGACCAGCCCCTGGGATAGATTATAACGGGGAGCTCTTAACCCTCCCCAACTGGAGCAGCCTGGGCCCAGTCTTAGAGGAGAGGCCCTTGCTGTACACAGTCTAGATTTTAAGTGTCTTCAAATCGCCACATATTAAAGGTTTGGTCTCTAACCTGACAGTATTGGGAGACAGCAGAAACTAAGAGCTGGGGTCCAGGGGGGGATCTTCAGTTTACTGAGGTGGGGTGCCCTTCAGGAGCATAAGGGATTTCCAGTCCCTCTCCTACCCCTTTTCTTCACTCTATAAAGGGGCCAGGTTGCTCTGCCACCTAGTCACACCATATTGACCACATATTCACACCCTGCTAGCCACCTATTCACACCCTGCTGGCCACCTATTCACACCATGCTGGCCTCCTATTCACACCATGCTGGCCTCCTATTCACACCATGCTGGCCACCTGCCCACACCATGCTGGCCTCCTATTCACACCATATTGACCACATATTCACACCACGCTGGCCGCCTATTCACACCATGCTGGCCATCTATTCGCACCACGTTTGCCACCTATTCGCACCATGCTGGCCATCTATTCACACCATGCTGGCCGCCTATTCACACCATGCTGGCCGCCTATTCACACCATGCTGGCCGCCTATTCACACCATGTTGGCCTGCAGCCCCAGGGCTAAGGCTGGAAGACAGGCTGAATCCTCTGAAACTGAGAGCCAAAATAAATGTTTTCTAAGTTATCTCAGATATTTATCTGAATAAGGGAAAACTGACTAATCCATCCCTCTGGGTCAGGGTCCCAGTGTTGGGGGACAGGACAGTGTCTCCTTTCTCTTCTGGGACAACTCAAGAATGCCTGGCCCCCAGTAGACAGCACAGTTGGGAGACAGTTCTCAGACCTTTAGTGCATACTGGAATGTTCTAGTTAAAAGCATAAATTCCCAAGGGCTCTTGAATCTATGGGACCCTCCTTCAGCTGGCATCCGTGAATCTACAGCTCACACTTTGGAGAGGCGGCTGCCTTTCCATGTTCGCACTCAGGTGTTACCAAGACCCAACTGCTTATCAGTTCTAGGCAAATCCAAAGGTCAGCCAGCTCAGCAGCAGGTAAGTGTGCATCATCCTTGCTGGTACCTGCCATTGTCTGCACAGGTGATGCCAACCCTGACAGGAGAATTCTTCTCTTGCCCTTCTCGGCTGGCCGGGACCCCATGCTCTTTGTGGGTGTTGGATAAAGGTGCCGCTCTAATACCGGAGATTGGGGTAGGAGGTCTTCCAGGGAATGAGAAGGAAAGACACAGGTGCTGATATGAAGCTCAGCTCCCAGAGGAGCAGCACCTCATTATCCCTCCAGTCTGCATCAGGCTTCCTCTGGAGTCACGGGGTTGGGTTGGAACGAGGCCAAGACCAGCCCTGTGAAGCTTGCAGCTCTGATCAACCTCTCATGTCTGGGACTCAGGGTCATCTTCTTGGTGGTATAGCAATTCTCAGTGGGTATAGGGTTCCTGGAGGCATGCAGCTGTAAGGGTCACCTAGAGCAGGGAAGGGGGACAGGCCCTCTGGGACTTCCTGGAAGTAATGTTGGACAAACTCCCATCCATGGAGGTTGTGACCTTGACTTCTCTCAAGGGAAATTGGCTTAAGTGAGTCCAGGGACTTAAGTGTAGTCCAGGGCTACAACCTTTGGGAAGCCTGGAGAGTCTGGTCCAGAGCCCCCAAGAGAAAACACAGCAGGATGGGGGGAGGGGAGAAGAGGGAAATGGCAGGCAGGGATTGGAAAGGCAGCTGGGGGAGTTAAAATATGCAGATGGAGAGATGTGCGAATGCCTGGAAAAAGGAAAGACCCGGATCACAGGCAGCAAAGGAGCTGGGGGAGCGGAGTCAGGGATCTACCGTGGGTGGGGCCAGGACCTCCAAGCAGCTTCCACCCACCCAGATGTGCTTTCCCAGTGTATCCTGAGCCAGGGTTGCAGGGCGTGGGGAGAAACTATAGCCTTTCTGTCCCTACATTGACACCTGTGTCTGCCATGATGGGCTACATCCGTGGGCCTCCCAGCCCTGGATCTGAACCCAGATTACTGGCTGCTATGAGGTTTGGGTACGTGCAGGGGACGAGAGAGGATGCTTCCAGCATAGGTGGAGGCCCCTCTACTTGGAACTTCAGACTTCTTTTGATCTCAGGGGCAAAGGCAACGGAGGACACACTTCTTCCCACCTCTGTCTAATCCTAGGTGAAGGCTCAGGCTCCAGACCCCAGTGCTCCTGCCGGAGCAGATAGGATAGACTAAGGCCAGAGGCAAGCAAGGCGGGTCCCACCCGCCTGCCACACAACAGCTGGTCGCCCCCTCCATTACTGTGCATTCCTTCAGCACTTGCAGAGCAGCCCTACTTTGCGCTCCATTAATTTGCAAGTCTGCTTTGTAAGTGTGCTTTTGTCTTTCCTCCCTGGCCATCCAGACTTCCCCACCCAACCCGGCTACAGAGGGCAGGGTGCGCCTCCCACGAGCCCTGAAATCTTGCTCCGAAGAACTCTGGACAGCACAGCTGCCCACCCCACAGGAAAGAGGTGCTGGGTGGCGCCAGATGCCAAGCCTGGAAGAGCAAGAAGACAAGAGTGTCCTCACTTTCTATGTAAGAAACTGAGGCTGGAAAAGCATCCTTCCCTAGGAGAAGTCTCAGCCAGCTCTGCTGAAGTGCCCCGCCTCTCTGCCATCCATCCAGTCCTGTGGTTTTATAGTGGGTGTGAGATTAATAAACCTTTGCATGTACAAACCCAGTCTTATGCATCTTAGTAATTCCCGAATGAACCGGGACTGGACTCTTCTCCCTCAAAATCATCCCAGGAACCCCCAGGAAGGATCAATTATTTAGTAAGCTGCATGGAGCACAAGACTACTCACTTCTTATTACCCTACCCTGGAGCTTCCTTGGCACCTGGGATGAGGCAGGCCATACAGTTCTTTAGACACTAGGTCGGGGAGGGTTCACAGCCAATAATCCCCATGGCACCTCCTATAACTCCTAAAACAAGTGCAAGCTGACAAAGCAACCCTCCTTCAACTCCTTACAAACTCAGTTCCTATGCAAACTTGGAAGGCATCACAGGTCATGTTCTCCAGCAAATCCATGGCAAAGGACAGGCCTCTGGCTGGCCTTGGCTGAACCAGCTTTCTACCTGCGCCTGCTTGCAGTTGCCAGGTACCTGTGAATGGTGCCGGGTACAGAGGGTGCTCAGGCAGAACTATTGGAGCTTCGGAGCTTTGGTACAGCTCCTGCCATCTGCAGTGAGTTAGCCTTGCTTATCCCAGAAAGGCAGGCCCTCTCAGGCCATAAAACCCAGAGCCAAGGTCTTCTGGGCTCCTCAGCTGCTTGGTGGCACTAGTCTGGGCAGATGAGACTCCACTCTCCCTCAGCAGCTTTTCCTGAGCCTTAGTTTGTAGCAAATCCTACGCTTCACTGGCTTCCACTGTCCTTTGATGCCATGGTGTATAAGAAAATGTCTCTATCTAATCTGCCAGGTGAGGGCTCTGTGCCACCAGACTTGCCCAAGTGACAGGTGACTAACCAGTATTCAGTGAACACCCTCCATGCTTCCCCAGCCCAGGCTTCAGCCCTGAACAAAACTGTACCCTCTTTACCTGTTTCTGGTCTACATGTCTGTATTTGCAGCCACTGGTATTTGGGGACAGCCTCAGCTCAGGACACACAACGGATTGCCCTCCTCACAACTACCCATGTTCTTGTTTATTCCTTGTAAGTCTCATGCTAAGTTTCCTTTCTTTCTTTCTTTCTTTTTCTCCCTCCCCTTCCCCTCCTCTCCCTTCCCCTTCCTCCTTTCTTAATGTGTTTTTAAAACAAGTTCTCATATTTTATCCCAGGCTGGAACTCACTATGTAATCCAGGCTACCTTCAAACTTATGGCAATCCTTCTGCTTCAGCCTTCTGAGTTCCAGATAAACAGTTTTTAATCTCGATGCTCAGACACAGTTGCTCTGCCCATTTCTGGGATTGGAGGGCCTCTCTGATGAGCACACAGGATCCCTATCTGTTTGTCCCAAAGGGCACACTTTCCTTCAAGCATGCCGGATCCTAGAGGGTCTCCACAAGGCAGGAGCCCAAGGGCAAGGGGTAGCCACCTGCTCATCAACACACGTATGTACCAGACACGCTCTGTGCCTCTAGCCTTCCTCCACCCAGGGCCTTCCCTGCCCCTTTCCGGGCCTGCTAGGCCTCCAAATGCAGGTGGACTCTGGTTTTTTCCTCCTTCCCTGTTCAGCCTTTTCCCAGCCTTCACCATCCTATAAATAAATACAGAAGTCCTCCACTATTATTATTGCAGGGTTCCCTATATTACATGACAAATAGCTGTCCTTGGATCTTCCTCTGAAGGAGCCAGGCACATTATTATTGTTCCAGTTTTGCTTTATTATGACTAATTTATTGTTTCTTGGTTGTCGTTATTTTGTTTTTTTTAAGGACAGGTGGCTTTGAATTCACTGAGACCCATAAGCCTCTGCCTCCTAAGTGCTTGGTTAAAGAGATGGGCCACCCCTCTTCTAGCCAGCTTCTTGTTTTTTGTTTTTGGTTTTTTTTTTTTTTTTTGCTTCTCTGTTTCTTTTTTGGAGACAAGTTCTTAACAATGTAGCCCAGGCTGGCTAGAATTCGTTGTGTACCCCATGTTATCTCAAACTCCTGGCAATCCTGCCTCATCTTCCAAATGACAAGAGTGAGCGCCGGTCAGACCATTGCTCTAGGTGTAAATAGAGACTCAATGAGGTTGGAATTCTAGGCTTCCTATCTCGGACTGTCTCCACAACAGGCTGGGACTGCTCACTAACAGTGCGTGTGTACGTGCACACACACAGGGTCACACACATTGCTACCAAAACCACCGGCTGCCCTGCCCCCTCCACCAAGGCAGAACCATAATTATCCACAGGTGACCTGGTAGCGCCGGGCACCAGCCAGTTTGCATAGGAAAAGTCATGAACTTCAACACCACTGTCCAGTACAGCAGAAGACAGAGTGGGTGCTTTCCAACCCCAGCAGCACACCAGGTGGGCTGCCATGCTCCCCTACCTTTGCCTCCGGCCCCAAGGGTCCCTCCCCAGAATCCCCTCTGCTCCCACAGCCTGACTTACTTCTCCAGCATGGACATGACGATCGGGGGAAGCACCAGGATGGGCATAGGCAGGACCACACGTGTCAATGCTGTCTCCAGCAGGGCCTGAGGATGGGGACAGGCTGGGGTGAGAGGGGGGGCCAGGGGCTGGGAAGCAAATCCCCCCCGGAGTGGAGTCTGACGTGTGCACCGTTGTTCAGCACACCTGGCAGCCCTGGCTTGCAGCAGTGCACACAGAGCTGGATCCCAGGCGCCAGACAATACTGCCCCACCCTCACCAGATTCTCTGGGTCGGGGAGGAGTGGTAGAGGTCAGCCTCCCCAGCCTGGAGTGTGCAGAGATAGGGGATTGCGAGAACAGTGTGCAGAGTACCTAAGATACAGAGCCAGAATAAATCACCGGACCTGCAAAGCCAGGGGGCTCCCAAGCTCAATGAAGCTGGGGGCTACTTTTTAAAAACTGCATAAGACCTTTTGTCTTCTAGCTCTAAGTATTTTTTTTTTTTTATCTTTATAGCCCAGGCTGGCCTTGAACTATGTAGCTGAGGAGTCTTGACCTAGAGTTCTCTTGCCTTCACCTCCTGAGTGCTGAGGTTACATGCATGAGCCACCACCCATGGATTTAACCCAGGGCTTTATATGTGCCAGGTAAGGACTCTATCAACTGAGCTAAATTCCCGAGCCCTGGTGAGCTTTACTGAGAAAAAGGTCAGCTTTGTAAGAGGCATAAGATTTGGCTGACCATGTTCAGGATGCAGTGGGAATGGTGACTCTCACAGAATCCTGGGAGGCATAGTCTGAGGCCTAGCTAAGTGGCAATTTTGTGTTTGGACAGACACAGCAGAGTCCCTTTGACTCATGGTTCCTGCCCTTAGAGGAATGTCCAGGAATGGCTCAACTCACAGCTCTCCAAGCTTCTCCAAGGAGATGTCTCTCAAGAAGGTTGAAAGAAGCTTGGGGCTGCAAAGGAGCTGGGTGACCTCCCTGGGTGGCCTTCAGGAAGGGGTGCCACCTCTGCTCCCCCTACAGGGCACTCTGAAAGGATGGGATTGAGATAGAGTAGGAACCTGAAGGTAGATTCTCTCTGATGATGGGCTGAGGGCTGGTTTGCTCCCAGAAACTTGATCCTTTTATAGTATGCTCGGGAAGGGCCAGGAGAGGGTCTTTTCAGGCCCCAGAACTCTGTGGGAAGGTGTAAAGGCCAGGGCAGGAAACATGGCACCCAGCCCTGGCCCCATGCAGGGTCTAGATGCGCCCTGACTTCCCCTGAGATGGACTAGAAGATCAGAGGCTTACCAATAAGGTCTTGTATACAGGGTACCATCTCAGTCTCCATGTGAGAACTGTTGAGCCACAGGGACTGGAGCATCTGTGATGTTCTATCCCCTCGGGCTGACCCCTCGTTTCATTCCCACCATGCACAGGCTAGAACCCAGGACAGTAGGTCAAGCCACCAACCATCATCCGAAGGCCGAGAGAGCACAGGATGTGTGTGTGTATGTGTGTGTGTGTGTGTGTGTGTAAAAACACAAGCACTACTGTGGGCAGGGCTAGTGCACAGGGCCTTATAAGGAACCATTTGCAGGGGCCACACAACATTTTCCACATCCCAACCACACTCCCCAGCACCCGCTCCCCAGCCAGACAGCAAGCCATACACCACTGCCTGCAGCTTCCCATTCACAAGCCATGGGGATGTGAAGGCCTAGGGCATGCAGTGAAAGCCCTGGGGAAGCTCCTCTGCCCTCTCCAATTAACACGTCCACAGAGGAGCTGTGCCCTGAGGGGCTGGCACAAGACATGGGGACATTTCACCGTGGAGATGTCGTAGATCAGTGAAGAACTGTCCAGGACAAGCCTGACTGAGAACAGACTTTGAGGCCCAGAGCTCACAGAGACAGGCGTTGGGGCCTGGAATGAGGAAGACGTCACATCTAGAGAACCAAGCCTAGGTTCTATGACCGAAAGATCTCAAGGAACACACAGGCTATGCATGACAAGCCACTCCATTCCTGGCGGGGCACAGCCCTTGGGAAACCCACATGTCTGGCTGCGATCTTTGAGGAGCCCACGAGGTTGCCATCAGCATCCAGGACATCAATCCCTTCCTCCAGCTCCCCATACCGCATCAGGACCACGTTGCAGATATTGGCACTGGCTGGAGAGAGGAATACAGAGACGTGTAGTGAGACACGGTTGGCTTCCTACATGGTTTCACCTTCCAGCCAGGGCTCCCAACCCAAAGCACAAAGGTGGAGTACTCTATTGTGCTCCCTCCCCACCTCCCAACCCCCCCACCCCCAGACAGTGTTTCTCTGTATAGCTTTGTAGACCAGGCTGGCCTCGAACTCACAGAGGTCCGCCTACCTCTGCCTCCTGAGTGCTGGGATTAAAGGCGTGCACCACGACCACCCAGCTCTCTCTTGTGATTTTAACCAAGACCCCTGGACACCCAGGAAGCATGGACCAAAAGTAATAGGTGGACACGGTGAAGGCTTTGGGGGGCTGGCTGCCACCTACAGAGGGCGCTGTCCACCTCTTCAGGGGAGGGTCCCTAGTCAGGGAAGCACATGTGCATCCAGAAAGTTCTCTGTCCCTGAGATGTGTCTCCCACGGGGCCTAGTGTTTCGCCACCAGCAACTCAGCCCCATGGGCTCGAATACACTTTTAAATGCCACTTCCCATATTCAATCCCTCATGTCTCACTGGAGCAAACCAAGAGATTTCCGTCCACAACAGCGAGCGGGTGACAGAGCAGACCGCTGTGCTCACCCAGCATCGCCCCCGCATCATATGAACAGAGCACAAGCTCACAGAGCAACGGTGACTTAACTGAGGCCACACAGCAAAGGGGGACATGGTGGAAAGTGGGAAGGCCGTGGTGCTTCAGCGTCAGGTACCTAGAGACGGGAGTGGGGTTGCTGGGGGGGGGGTTGTCAGGGGAGCAAGCGAAGTTTTCCCAGAGGTTGGGTTGAGCTGCCTCACTTAGCCATGCCTCTCCCTGAGCTCCTGGGGACTTACTGCTGAGAAGACATCCCTGGATCCTAAGATAAGCAGGAGATGATGGCTGCCCTGCTTCCTTAACTGGGACTCACAGGCCAGGCCCAGGCTCTTGGTGGTGTACAGATATAGATCTGGCCTGAAGTCCTCCAGCCCTGCTCCATGATGGAAATGGGGAGACTTGGGGGTGGTAGGTGGGTGGTGGGAAATGTGTGTGTGTGTGGGGGGGGTGACAAATGTAGAGCCTGCCTGCTCCATTCCTCCCCCCAAAGCGCCTTGCTGTGTTTAAAGTTTTAATTTTTGCTAATTAATGTCAATTAATTTTGTATAATGAGTGTTTAATTTTGGGGAGTGTGTGAGCCTGGGAGCGACTGCAGTTCTGGGCTGTGAACGCTGATTAGCATCAACACCTGCTGCTTCCCCCTCTCCAGTGGGGGGGCGCCCGGGTTTGGGGAGCTGGAGGGTGGTGGGGCTCAGTGGGCAAGTGGAGTAGGAGGGAGCCCACAGATGCTCCTGGGACCTAAGCCAATGGCTGGGGAGCCCAGCAATGTAGGGTGTTCACAGCTGGGGCCAGGGCTCTGCAGGTGAGGGCTGGTGTGGGACCAGGGGTCTCTGAGCCTCGTTTTCCTACTGCAATAAAGTGGGGGGGGTGGAATAAGCCGAGGCAAAGACCAGGAGGCACTGCAGTCTTTGGAGACGGAAAGCAGGAGAGCAAACAAGCTCTGAAATGTATTTCGAGCACATATGCTATCTTTGAGCGTCTCCACCGTTTCCACACGATGCTCATCAGCGCTCACCATGGCAGACCTTCAAACCTCACGGCTCCTGTCCCCACAATGGACACGTCTACCTGTCTAAACAGTGGCTTTCAAACAGGGGCAATGTGGGGAGAGATTTTTTTTTTATTATTATCGTGGTTTGGGGGAGGGGTGGGGTGTTATTGGCACATGGCTGGTAGAGACCATTGAGGCTTTGAAATACAGCTTCTGTGGAAAGACGCTAAAATGCACAGGTCATTCCTACAACAAGCTATCACCCGGCCCCAAATGTCAATAACGCACTGACAGAGACACCCTGGTTTGAGATGGGGTTCCCCCCATGTAACCCAGGCCATTCTCAAACTGACAATTGTCTTGCTTCACCGTGCAGTTCCACAACATCTGGGAACACCTTTACCACATCCAAAGAGAATTAGGAAGGTGCTCTGAGGTAAAGACTTGGGACGGCAGGGCAAGTCATGGAAGACGGGCATGGTGCCTGAGTTTGGGAACATCCATGCTTGGGGCTCATTCCTGGCTTTGTTTCTCTCTCTGCTTGCTCCCAAAGGTGAGCTTCTGACAGACACAGAATGCCCAGGACCCAAATAGGGAAGCAGCTCGTGGCCTCTATTGGTGATAAGCCCTCTAGTGGCCACGGGGATACTCTACCCCTTTTGGCCCTTGGGTTGCCCAGGCCCTGAGTTCTCAGAAGACAGGAGAACATCACTGAGTGGGAAAGTGGGGTTTTCTGCCTGAGAGGATCAACTCCTATCCTCAAGAATGCCTGTCACCACTGCCAGCACCGCTGTTCCTGTCCCCAACCGGGAGACAGTGAGCACTGTCCCCCCTGCTGGGCATTCCCAGTACTGCACTTAGGGTCTCCAGGGGAACCTCAGGGCACAGGCAACACTCATCACTGAATGCCAGCCTCTGCCAGGAGGCTGGGGGAGGGGGGGCAGGATGCAGGTCAAATGACTACAGCCTCCATTGGGCGTGTTTATATATTACAGTCTTTTCTGTGGACCCTACAGTAGTTGTCTAGTTACATTTAGCCCTTGTAGGAATCATCCCCAGCAGTAAGCAAGAACGAATGCCGCATGCAGGGATCGCACTTTTACCACCTCATCTGGACTGTTTGATTCTGCCATTTCCCCCCAGACCTTCCTAAATCTCTCTTATTCCACTCTGAGAGGGAGGGAGGGAGGGAGGGAGGGAGGGAGGGAGGGAGGGAGGGAGAGAAAAAGAGAGAGAGAGAGAGAGAGGCAGGGATGGAGGGAATACGCATGGGTCTCCCTTTTGACACACCAACAGATCTACCATCGACAATATCAGCAGGTTAATTAAGCAGTCTATTAGCGATAATGTTACAGAAACTGGCACATTTTCAACTCAGATCGACACCATTCAAGACTCGGGCATGACTGACATTGAAGCAGCAGTACAGGAAACACCCTGGAATGGGGGGAGGGCAAAAACACGCTCCTGGCTGTCACAGATGTTCTTGCGTGGACCCATTGCCATGCAAACCCGAGCAGATGGGGGAGAGCTGGTGATGGAGCATCCAGAGAAAAAGGGACTTGTGAGGAACAAAGCCGTGGAAAAGTGTGAGCCCGGCTGTGAGCCTGCATGGCACACAAGGGAGACCAGCGGGGCTTGGGCAAGCCGCACACACCTGTGTGAGAAACTGACTGTTGGGAAGGCAGGCGCACCAGCCAACGCAGGGGCACTCACTCACAAAGAGCCATAGGCCTTCGGCTTGGGGAAAATGAGACCCCCCCAATAACTCTTCAACTCTGAGATGCATTTTTCCACATGTTAATGTCCTAAAAATTAAGATGTGTAGGGCTGGGAAGATGGTGCAGTTCGTGACGCGCTTGCCGTGCAAGTACAAGGACCTGTGTTCGAGCCCTAGAATCCACGTGAAAAGCTAGGTGTGGTGGCACATGCCTGGAATCTCAGTGCTGGGGAGGCAGAGACGGGAGGATGCCTAAGGAAGACTGGCTGGCCAGCCTCATTAACCTAATAGGCAATCACTAGGTGTCAGTGGGGGACCCCGATCCAAAATACAAGGTATGTGGGCAAATAAGAGGCTCAGTGGGTAAAGGCACTTGCCACCAAAGCTGACAACCTGAGTCCAGTCCCTGGTAAAAGGAGAGAACCAACTCCTACAAGTTGTCCCCTGACCTCCCCACACAGGTGCAGTGGTACAAGAGTGAACAACAGGAATGCACACACACATGCATGCATACATACATATGCACACAATCTTAGTAGCTGTCAGGGTGCAGGGGAACCTTACCTGCTACTCAAGGCTACTGACAGGGTCTATGTGAACTTAACCATGGGTAGGAGGATCACTTCATTCAGTTGTCACCTCAGCCGACCACAGCAATCCACACAGAACTTGCGCTCAAACTTAGATTCCTAATTGTTGCCTGAAACATCTTTTTTAAAACTTACACTATAATGGTGCACGGACACGAAAAGTTATTGTACATGCAGAGGATCGTCTGCCAGATACCAGGCAATGCAATTAAAGGCAGTAGAAATTGCCAAACCATAGATAGCTACCCTAAAGAAATGCTCGCCCATATGCACAAAGAGACATTTACAAGGGTGCTAATTATAGCGCTGTTTGTAAGGAGCAAATAATTAGAAACAAGCTAAATGTCCACCATTAGGGAACTCACACTGGAGTCTCTCCAAAACAAATCACAACATGAAGAACGCTGTCAAGAGTAGACAGGTGACTGTGTCAAGCCCTGTCATCGATAGAACCAAGGGCAAGTGTGTGGGAACGTACAGGTAATGTTTTGGAAGGCACCTGTCTCCCAGAGCTGCCGACGGAAGAAAGATGCAATCTGAGACTCGAGGCCTGTTTTGAGAGACTTCTATATTTTCTACACTAAATGTTTCTATATTATTTAAATTGTACAATGGGAGTGCAATCGTGTTTACCTAAAAATCCATCTTAGAAATATACAAGTCTCTAGGTGTAATGGTGCATGCTTTAATCCCAGCACTTGGGAGGCAGAGGCAGAGGCAGGAGGATCTCTGTGAGCTTCAGGCCAACTGTATCTATGTAGCAAGTTCCAGGCCAGCTAGCTACATAGTGAAACACTGTCTCACAAAGAAAAAAAAAAAAAAGGAAAAAAATTTTAATTAAAAAGTGTTAAATTAAAAAGGAAATATGGAAGTTAAGATCTATTTTTACCCCATATTATGAGTGAGAAGTTGGGGAAATATACTGATTAAATATAATAAACAAAAGTCTACTTATAAAGAGGGTGAAGGCGACTGACTCCCTAGGAGCTATTCCACCCCCAAAAACTAACTGAGGACTTGGACCCCTTGCCAGTGATCAGAAAGAGACATGTGACCCTAGTGAGGGAGGGATGTC